ATCCTTTCATGTTGATGCTTTGTCTCTGTTCTTCTGTTTTAGTCAGTGTTTTCCCATGATGTCTCTGGTGGTCTTCAGTATTACTCATATAAATGTTGATTTCCTCATAGTCACTTTATACTTAAACCAGACCTCTTGTTCTTGTTGGTGGAACAAGCTACATAAATGAAACTTTTAGATTGATGACTGTGAATGTAATTAATACATCTATCCGTATTTGTGTGGCATTAAAACGTTAACTATTTTGTAAATTATTATAAATTCTTAGCTTTATCAAGTATTCAATTCTTCTATTAAATAAAGGCCCAAACTTGTTGGGCATTTATGAGGTAAAAGACTGAGCAGACTGTTTTACTTTCCTTTACATTCAATTGCATACTTTTACAGGATACCTTCGAACAAGGCAACTTAAAGATTTATAGTTAAGTTCTTAATATAACCAGTCATTTATCTCCGTTCTTAGCAAGTTCGATTATGGGGTAAGTCACAGCATAAACCACGTAATATTCCACTATAAAATTTGAAAAGCATAAAAGCTAAAAATTTTTACATTTTTTAAAACAGTTAGGTGTCTATAATGCATGGTGTTTTAACAAAAATCAAGGCCCTTGTGATTAAATATGCTGTTCACAGACAGTAAATAGATAGGGATAGATAGGAGCTATACGGTGGTGGTGTCCTCTCACAGTCTAAATATATAGGCGTTTTAAGTTAATTTGGAGAACTGGCCGTGGGTGTGAATGCCCTTTGATGACCTGGCGACCTGTCACGAGTGTATCCTGCGTCTTGCCGGTGTCAGCTGGGGTAGCCTCCAGAGCCCAGTGACTAAAATATATAACAGTTTTATTCAAGAACCAGAAAATGCTGTCATTTCTGGCATTTGCACTCAATGCCATTGCCATTTTAGAATAGGTCACTGATGTCTTCAGTGGAATTGCCAAACAAGTTAAGCTTTGAGCACATGCTGTACAGTATGAGGCTAAAACGGATTTAAAATTTCAACCTTTCAAACTTCCAAAAAGCATCCAATAAATTGAAAACCCGATCTTTTAAAAGATCATTTTAAATGCCGGTTTAGCGTCATGTGATACAAACTCAACACTGAAACAGAAATGTTGAATTTTTATTGTTCTGAACATTTAATTATCAGGAGCACACATCCCCCCCCTTCCTATCATGACTTGTTTTTAATTCCAGACGAGTTCACTTTATAGGAAAATTAATTAGCCTTCTATCTAACATATGATTAGACTAGCAACGAGGGTAATTGACTGAACAGATGCTGTTTAATGATTCTCCTCATATGGATCTGCTCAAAGAAAATGGTCTCAACACTGTGTCTGGATTACACTGCCCTCTCCTGGACACAAGCGGTCCTGATGAGCCATACTGTGCAACTTTGATCAGTCTGGCGGATTCTACAGCTAGGCTGACGGGAGGAAGCGAATGCATTATTTACTCCTTCCTCTCCTTCTCGCTTCCTCCTTTGCATATCACCCCTGTTGAGTTACTGCTTATCCTGGTGCTCAGCACTTTCTCCGTTTCACAGCGATGACCTATGATGACAGCCCTGTCGTCTGCTATGAGCAGCTTGCTGTGGATCTAGATGAGCTCAGTTTCTAGCCAACCATCCAGGTCAGTGTGTGTCCACAAAATGAAATGTAGCCAGTCCACTGTGAGCACAGGGAACTCTGCCATTCGCACAAACAAACAGATAAACAGACGTGAGCGTATAAGCCTCTAATTTATTTCTTGTGTTCCTTTGATGATGTATAATGACTCTGGGTCATACTGGAGCTAATTGACTAATGCTCTCAAATTCATACTAAAGTATTTTCCCTTAACAAGGGTCCTTGTTTGACACAGAATTAGCCCATTAAAAGAGACTGGGTCTTCATTTGTCCATTCAAAAGCCCAGTAAGTTTCACAGTTGATGGAGTGTGTATGGGGTTGGCTGGATAATGAATGCAAGGGAAAGCAGAGAGAGAGCAGAGAATCAGCTGCCTGTGGGACGCCTACTTGCTCTATAGAAAGCATGACTTACTCACACATTCCACTCTCTCAGTGACTGAGTGCTCTCCCCGACATATGGTCCTGTAGGGAAACAGTGTGACATCAACCTTCTTGCCAATCAACTGTCTTTATCTTTTCTCACTCTTTCTTCTCTTCAACCATCACCTCTTAAGCTCCACTTAGCTGAGAGCTAGTTCATCAAAGGTTTTTTTTTTTTCCACTTTTTTTTTTTGCTCATTTTCGCCCTGCGTGGTAGAACTCTCTTTTTTTGTCTTTTAATTGCCTCTGCATCACACTGGCTCTTATAGGGCCTGTTGTTTTTACCCTCTCTGTTGTAATTTGCCCACCTCTCCCTTGTGCATGTCCACTGCTTATTTAGGGCCTAATTGAGGCACTTTGGTAATTGAGGAGGAAGTTCTTAAGAGCTGAGGGAGTGGACGAGTGTCTGTGAGTTGAGATTACCTGTAATTAAAGTACATGATGGCTTTGATAGCTTGGTTCCCTCCTGTAGAGAAGCCGCATTCAAACCCAGGCACTGGCAACACATAGACTAAAAAAAATTCCTTCCCTGTCTGTACTACAGTCTGTACACACACATACACAGATGTGAACACTACATGCATGACAGTCGATAAAACCGACACATGCGTACTGTATAGCATGGTAAAATTGTTGATGATGCTTCATGAAATAATTAAAAACTGGTTCTAAAGGAGGAAACTTTGGAAATAAGATAACATTTCTAAGATACTTGTCATAATTCCCACCTCACACAGGTACACTTTTGAATATTAACCAAAAATGAGGTGAGAGGTTCAAACAACAAACAAGTGAGTCCTCATAAACCTTTGATCTGATCTGAGGAACCTCAGCACATTAATGCCTCCTCACACTACAGCTACTGTCCAGCTACTGGCTTTTACCTCATTACTTCTACTACATGGAGTTGGAAACACCAGAAAGGCAAAGGAAAGCTTCACCCGATTTGAAGTGGAGCGTACCTGAAGATATTGTCATCTGCATTTAAGAGAAACACACAAAAGGAAAGAATGCCAAAGATGCCATAAGCTGAGCAAATCGGTGAGACCATATCAGAGAGAAGAGCCGTCTACACAACCAGTGACTTGAACCTCAACTGTAAGATTGATGAGAATAAATATGAGGTCAAGCTTTCGGTAAAAGCTTTCGCTGAGCTTCTCATGGCTGTTGTCCTTTTTAGGCATTAATGAAAGCATCTGAGTGGTTTTCAGCTATTAAACAGACAAAGATGGGTTAGAGCAGTTTGAGCCCACTGTTGTTATTAAAAAAAGCACAGGATAATCTGGCTTGTGCATTTTGTACATTAGTGACTGTTCATTTATCATTTTGGTACAAAACTACACAAGGAAGGGTTATGGATGGAGGACTATAGATATATATATATTATATATATGCACTCTTTGCTTTTAATTTTAGGCTCTCATCGTGCCGATTTCCTCCATTCGACACATTCTTGCCCTCATAAATAAGGTGGTGACGGTGCAAATTAGCCGCCTGTATCTCATGTCAACATCTACCCCAGGTCTAAGCCTGATCCTGTCCTTGTGTTTTGAAACAGATGGCTACTACTACAATAAAAAAAAGTAGCAAATTATTTTAGCAGCAGGCAGCGAAAGCAATTAACAACTGGCATAATGTGTTGATTAAAATCCAATCCAGTCTCAATGAAGGAAAAAAAACCCCAACTTTTTTTCTTTTTTTATTCAGTCGCTTGGCGTCTATCCACCCCTCAAAGTATGCTGACCTTGACCTGATCACAGCTGTTGTTCACTTAAAGTAGAACTGAAATATGATTTGTTGAGCTCATCCAGCACCACTGGTGTAACTGCAGCATGAGAAGCTTACCTTATGAAAGAAGTTGTCTTTCATGTCATTTCATAAAGAATATAGTGTTTCTGCTGAAAACCATAGTCAAGTTACGGCTCACCCTCCCACACAAATTTTCAAGCTACCATTTTTTTCTGGATTCTTTTTACTCAGCCGATTCAAGAGTCTGATTTCTCCCCAATTAAAATAAAGACCTTCCATTTCATCAAAAACACTTCAAATTAAAAATGCTTGAGGTGTGTCTCTCAGATTTACACTGCGACTTTGACGCCGCGACTCCTCTGCTCCAAATATGATGAATGCACAAAGTCATTTTCAGGCTTTTACCTCATGTACCTCATCAACAGCAGTCAATTGCCACCCCACTGAACAGTGAGCACCGAGTGAGAGGCTTTACTTTGTCTTTGAGCCAGAAAATCTCATTTTCACTAAACACCTAATCAGTCCCATTCATCCGGCTATGGTTCCCTAGTTCCCCAGTCCTACACCTGGCTTTGCCGTCTTTAATTACTAGGAGAGTGGCTTTGTCTGATCAGGAGCCAAGATTAGAATATGAGTGGCAAATTCGGAAAGAAAATCATACAGGGTAAAACCAAGTCAATTACCCACCAATCAAAGTAGAAAGGCCTGTAATTGCAGGGAAACAATGAGAGCCTCTGCTTCAGTCTGAGCATTGAAGGTATTATTAGCAAGAAATAATGCCCACCTGGAGGGGGTGCTATGCTCAAACTATTAAATTTCACTGCAGCGAGCAATCTTTGAGATCACTGGAAAAGCATTTTTTAAATGCGACTATAACCCTCAGTGAGACATTGCATTATAATTTCATGTTTTTACTCTGCTATTATGTCAAATTGTGCATATGGCACTTGTGAGCAAGGATGCAGAAAATGGTTGAGACATTATAAAGAGGCAAAGCTTTTAGACTGCAATGTGCAAAATAGGCAGAAATAGACCAAGTACATGGAAATTACTTTTGCAATGTACTAGCAGAAGCGGCATTATTGTACAGAAAGAAACAGTCTATCGCAAGAAAGATATGACTGTAAAATCAAACGATTCCTTCATTTCTTTGTTAAGATCGATGTCTTGTCACGTTTTTCTGTCCCAGTATCCTCTCTAGGGATTTTTGGAGTTCTGTATCAGCCTGAGAAAGTCTTCAAAGAGAGGAAAAGAAAAACAAATAGCAATGCAATGTTACACGCTACAGTGGGTTGAGCTAAAGAAATCTGCCTCAGGAATATCGTTCACACAAAAGAACAACATCTCTAAGTATCTATATGTAGGTTCTTATTAAAATACAAAAGAGTACATATATCATTTCCTCTGTCAATGATTTTAATGATTCTTTAATGTATTTGTCATGTGCCCCTTAATTTTACTGTGCCATCATTGCAAGCCCAGACCCTGAGATCGAGTGTATAAAAGCCCAGGAAAAGAAATGGAGTGGCAGTGACAGATAGGCTGCCAGCTGACAGAAACCCCCACCAGGCTGCAGAATGGGATAGTTTGGGACAACTCAGGTACAAACTGACAACTTCAATTTTGCCTTTCCTTTGTTTTTGTTTTTTTTCTTCTTCTCTCTCTCTCCTTTCACTTCCTCTTTGTGTGGTTGCATTTGAAGATTCCCAATTGCAATATCAAAAGAGAGCGCTGTTGTCATACAGTTTGTTTTCCAAATGTAACCTTTTGCTGCTCCTCAGTCACACTCAATTCTTCAGAATTCAAAAAATAGAAGACAAATCTATCTCATGTGCAGGGCATGCAGATGCACATGCCTACATACAAACAGACGGGTACACGGACACACGCTCCAAACAAACAAAATCAAACAGCATCAAACGGCATCAAAGTGAAAATCAGTGTCCTTCATGGATTGTGTGATGTTACAGATTATTTTCTGCTTGGCTTGGCATGGCTCTGATTTTTTAAGACAGTGTAGATCTGATCTGAAAATAACATTTTGAAATTGGCATGACAACTTCACAGCAATTAATTTCACACTGGGGACAGGACCTGCCAGGAAGTGAGAATACCTAAATGGCTGACTACAAGTTTTTTTAAAGGGTAAATACACATTTTAAATTGCTTATTTAATTTACTAAATACTATAACATACTATAAATATATATTCTTTTGCTTTTTTTTCTCAATGTCATTACATTTTTCGCGCAGCTCTGATGACTGGATGCAACACACTTACTTAAATTTCATTGAGCAAACCCAGTTATCACAAAATACTGTTGTGCCCATCAATACTGTACTTAAAATCTATATGTATCTTCCAGAGGAGGTTCTGCCTTATGTACTAGAAACGGTAAAGAAGGCAAAGAAGCGAGTCAGTGAGTGTACCATCAAATGGTTTGTTAAGCTTAACCCAATCCTTGAGGATAAAGTTGGAGCAGTGTTCACGCTGCCAGAAACAGGCCTCTTCAGTCTCCACACAGCTCATTATTGCTGATGTGAGTCGGCAAAAAAAAGAAGAAAATCGTGGGATTAGCTTGAATGTTCTGTAAGTTTGCTGACTTTGGGCGTGCTGTATATGAATGACTGGACTTACCATAAAACAGTGCAGGAGTAATGGAGACCAAGGGATTGAGGCTCACTGGAGCGCAGACAAACACAGTCTCCGGGTGGGAGAGGGTGAAGCATCTTGGAGTTCAGACCGGCTCGCTTTTTCCTGTTTGAAAACTTGAAATCATAGGATAATGATGGTAGAAATATTATAAAATGAAATAAATGTATCTCTCTTTACAAATGGGTTCAAAAAGAATTGAAATTTAAATCACATATAATTGATTGTGCAATCATTTATTTCCTATCGTGGCCCTGCTGTAAATCAATCATGTGACTATTTTTCTGTCTTTCTCTAAACTCACATAGAATAGAAATACTCTGCGCACACTGTTAGTCCTGTAAAGTGCTCCTATTTAAACTGACTGTTTGCAATAGCGCGCTGGCAGTTCATGTTTACACGGTAACTTACCACAGTAAATATTTTATTGGCATTTCCCGAGTTAGGGTTAAACCACCAAAAACTTGAAGCCTGCTTGTTACAGTATCTCCACTGTAAGTGAAGGGCAGGTGTCTGACCGCCGGCCACACTGTACAGGACCAAAAATGACATCCTTTGTACATTTTATATTTTGATTTATGTGTAACCTGTGTTGGCCCTTTTTGAAATAAACTCAGTAGAGTGATATTTTTTGCTGGGAAGTATTATATTGTATTATATTTCCTCAGAAAAGCTGAGAGCAGAAGCAGAAATATGTGAAAAGTGCTGATTGTTTGTCTTCCTGTCAGCAAGATTATGCAAAAACAACAAAAAGTGCAAAGCCATATAGAGCAGACCTTTAAAATGCTCTTTGCTTTATTACCAAGTAGCTCAAACTGTTTTTTAGTTTACCGTAACAGATTTCTCTCTCCGGTAGTTTTGCTGCTGTTCAGCTTCTTCAAATGTGAAGTAGGTCGGTAACTCTGCTCTTGCTCCTCAAGTACTCCCCTGAATGCTGTTTGTGCTGCTTTTTCTGACCACACAGTGAGACCTTCAAATAGACCCCCCCAAGAGTGAGAGAAGCATCTCAACACATTACCCAACATGTTATAGGTTTGGCATGAATGGAATGATGATAAGAACACACATTAGTCAGTCCTCTCGAAAGTGACATTTACTGTTATGTGGTTTGTGTTTCAGTGACTTGAATCTATAAATATTCTCATTACCGGTCACTTTTTAATATTGCTTCCTTTTGATTGACAGCAGTTCTTCTATACAGTAGAATATAACCCTGCAAGTTAATTTGGGAGTTATGTTTTGGCATTTTCCATTGAATTCTAAAATCCACAGTTTTTATGTGTTCCAGTATTTCACCGTAGTAGTGTTTCACTTCTTTTGCAGTTTCCATTTTCCTGGTTAGTTTTCCTTGTGTTTTAATGTTTTTACATTCCTTGTGTATGACATCTGCCTGTTCCTTAACTCTGTATTTGCTTTTTTCTCTCTTTTTTTAAGTTTTCCTTTTCTGCCTACGTCCTGTCTATTCTGACTGCACCGCTGGCTCTCTACCTGCGTTTGATCCTTTTGTGTGCATCAAAACTTCAGATTTTGGACTTTTACCTGCCCCTGGTGTCACGTGTTTCGATCCTCTCCTCTTTGAACCATCACATCGCATATGGATTCATCATCAGCCGACATATTCCGCATGATCTTGGTCTGCATGCAACAAAGAATACTTTCTTTTGTCATTTTTTTCCGGTGTGACTCTGCTGCTTTTGAATAAAACATGATTGCTAAAATAATGTGCAACGGCGCTCTGAGCACTGAGCTAGCAAGGGATTCATTAGGATGAGTTTGAAGATAATCCAGCAGTGGAAGTAAATGCCAGCATCTAAAAAGTGTCTTTCTCACAGACAGTGATCCAACCACAGAACAACCAGCATCAATTAAAAAAAAAGGAAATAAATCTGTATAAGCAATGTTCAAAACCACTTACACACATAAACCCATCAAACGAACATCCACCTCATTGTTTAAAGAAACTGGAATTGGAACATTTAGTGTTTCAGATACCGTGTCTAACAAGTTTATTCAAATGTTTGTAATTAAACTACAAAATTATATTTGCCTAATATATTGACTATTTATCAACCAAAATACCCCAAAGCAACATTAAATGTGTTATCATTTAATTTTGAAGGGAAATTATAGCACATGTAAGTAAAGTGCTACATAGCACAGCACATAAAAACATAGTAGTTTTGGTATAAAAGACCTTAAAGATCATTTCTCAGTCACTACGCCTGATGAGACCCCGATAAAGTTTTATGTCTTTGAGCGGTAAACACTGATGTGCTTAAATGTGTCCTTTCTGATCTTCAACATTGTTACCTGTTTATTAAAGGATGTTTAATGTTCATGTTTCAAAGACATCATACTTGAAATACTCAAAGTTATGTATGTCTGCTTGCTAACTCCTCCCAGGCACGTGAATCAAACGGGACCAAACTTAAACTTAAACTACCAGGATTGTTTTCGTGTATGTAGCTTTTGGAAATATTTCTATAAAACTCAAATCCTTGCAAATTATTTATACTAACTGATTACATCAACAGTTCAGCACATCTGTAAATTGTCGTTCTATGGCAACATTTCGTGTACGTCACATGTACTTTGTTGGCATAATGTGTACGTTATGGGTACGGGTATGGGTATATGGTACATGTACGCTGTTATTTGTAAATAAATGTTACTGAACGATTTTTAGTGCAGCAGCATTTTGGGGTAACTGGAATGTGTTGTGATGGATGTCTAAAAAAGTATATAAATATAAAAAAGTGTTCGTCAAACAGTGAAACTGATTAATTTGTCTTATACAATGAATATGTAGCTTGCGAAGAAGACGTACAAATATATGTATTGTTCATTTGTTTGGTGTTTATGGATAGCTATTTTTTGCCATCTGGCTATATACGGTACTAAAACCAAGATAAAAAGAATAACATTAAATCACGTGAGCGAAGCGAACAAAGCGCCACGTGCCTGGCAAAAACAACTGGGCGGGTTTTTGCTAGTGTACATAAAAATATCATTTTTAACTCTTGTGAAGGAAACATAAAAAGCGTCCATGGAGAATGTAGTAATGAAGACTTTCTTTTTAATAGACACTATGGCCTTTTATCTACATTGTAATGTCTCTGATGTATTCCCACTACATCATTGTTACTGTTGTTCAAGATAACTTCAAATAAGGACGTTCTTCAAAACACAACTTTCAGGAGAATAAAAGCAACTTCACAAGGAAATGTCATGTCATATAAGAATAACCACACATGTGGTATGATGCTGTACAACACTTTCTTAAATGCAGTCGTGCCCTATGAGTCACTTCCCCTGTATATCTGTGTATATCTGCACACATTATGAATGCCACGCTGGAAAAATCTTTTTTACAACTCAAGCTTCTTTTGTGATAAACATTGCAAAGCAGAAATGAACTTCCATATACCAGTCACTCATCCTTTGTGAATAATACTTAAGGACTCATTAACCCCTAATTTTATCTCCTAAATGTATGATTTCAGCATCTTAGGTCTGTTTTCAGCACGACGTGAAACACCAAAAAACCAAAGCATAACTCGACACAAGTTCTGCCTGAATCAAGTGGTGATTTACACCATTGTGTAAAAGATTTTTAAAAATGCAGGTCCAAGACCGATGGCAGTTTTTGATGATCTTAACAAAGATTTCTGCCATGTACAGTAATAGACCTTTGTGGCCAAAGCAACTCTCAGCTGTACGCTGAACACTAATGACTCATAAAGCCTCACCGCCACCTCAACTTGACAAATGGCAAATGTCAGCGGCATATTCTCCTGGTAGGCATAATTTTATTAAGTGCAAATATCACTGTGCTCCTTAGGAGACACTCAAAGGTTAGACCAACAGCTGTAGCAGTTTCATGTGTATTAGCTGGGATTTTGCAGCAAGTCAGACTCCCCTGAGTTGATGGACACAACCAGTCAAGCATGAGGACGGATGCTCTAACTAAATGCAATAAGGAGAGGCTCGGGCTACGATCATGTTTATTTAAAAGTCTGGGACAATAACCTAATGGAGGACAGTAAGGTAAAGGGTTTGGGCAGAAGAAGGGGGGCTAGTGATGAGAGAAAGGCAAAGACAGACTGGTGGTATATAGAGGGGCAGATCATTTTTTTCCCCGTTTATTGGCTGTGGTAATTTGTTGACTCACTCATCCATGAAGAGTCTTTATGTTTAATGCAGGCCTCCAGAGGGGGAAGGAGGGAAGTAGGGGGTGTAGGAAATGGAAAGACAGGCAATAGGGGGTTACGGGGTACCCTTAGAGATTAGCCTCCACCTCTTAGTGCGGGAGACGAAGGTAGATGAATATCAACCCTTAAAGTGGGCCTCAGATGCTAATCGGGGGTTTCATTTTGGCCTGACCCTGCTCACTAAACCTATCTAATAACTGATGGAAATGCCCTGAAATAAATGTTCAGATTTTGTGCTAAAGACTGGTCTGACCTTGCAGGTGTGTAACAAAATAAACTAAACTAATTCGACATCAACGTAATACCAAAGCGCAAAAGATGGAACCTTTGTTGAAATAATATGTATCTATGGTTTATGAACAGCATTCACTGATAATAATTTCTTCTTAACTTCCAGTTCAATGTCATCCAGCTGTCAGATGTATATCTGGACTTTGACGTGTGCTGTGGTCTGACATCCATCATCCTTATCCAGCCGTTAACGGCATGCATGACCTGACCTGGCCCTCGGAAGGTTCATGCCCACGAACATTTGTGGCCCACTGTTGGCCAAGGATCCCTGTGAATCCCATTTACAGAAGGGGTTACTATTGTCTGTTTTGCTTAAAGAAATGGTAATCTCAACCTGTCCTTAACATCTTCTGACGAATGCCAAACCCTAAACCTATCATATTTTTAGTGTAGTTTCACACTGTGAGGTTTCATGGCAAATAAGCGTTAAAATAAGTTACTTCCTTGGCAGTTGTTCAAATCTGCTTACAAAAGCTGTCTGTTAAAAGAGAAAACTAGCACCAGTAAGCAGGATATTGACACTTGATATATAGGCTACAGAAGAGTTTAGGTCTGAGGGTTGAAGTGTAAGAAGTTTTATGGTTGAGAATTTCATACTTCCCAAACTGTCCCAAGTATACACAACAAAACGCTAAGAAGCAAAAAAAAGACAAAAAAGTTATGTTTGCAACAGTTTTGTGTGAGATGTTTGTCAGAACATAAAAGTCCAGTGTGCAGCATTTGATTGAAAGTTGAAAATTATATAGGAGGATTAATAGAACTGGGATTTCACTTCACTTCTTCATCCTAAGTCCCGTTAGACCTTAGTGGCAGGATTTTGGCAGGTCAAAAACTTAAACTAGAAGAAGACTCCCAAGGACAAGTGCAGGCAAACTACTACTAGGAGCAAATGTTCCTGGAAAATGCATATTTAGATAACCGGCATTTACTGGTGAACATGGAGAAATAGTTTTAGGTCAGGCATCATCAAGTGATGCTAAGCAAGAATGAGCTAAATTTAGAAGATCTCCAGTTAGGTTTTTTATGAAGCTGTTTTTATTGAGAACAGAGCAGAGCAGTTACTTGAAAGGTATGACCATTATAAAGGCTGTCACTAAATGTAATCTGAATCAAATTAACCTCTATTTAAATGTGTAAATTATGAGGTGGACCTTGGAAAACGTTGTAAGGGGTCCTTGTCCCCCAAAATAATGACAATCCCTCATTTACATGAGGACTACATATCAAAACAGAAGTTACAACTGATACCAACTTATCTGTATTGATAATCGTACAGTACTGCAACAGAATCCAGCAGCAATAAAAAAAAAAATTTTTTCGTCTTTACCTGCTACATGCTTTTTAAAGCTTTCTGTCATGTTACTCCATAAACGCACAAAGTTAGCAATTCAGCTTCTTCTGAGATTCGCATCATATTAACTTCAGAACAAAGATGAGACTAACATTTAACTCCTCTTTCTTAACTTTCATCTATTTTGGTCCCCTTTGTTGGTTTAACATTCCTTGATCTGTATGCTAGAGGTGTTACATTGCCACGAAACAACATCTCTTGGGCATCGAACTACATAAATAAAACTCTGAAGCTACCGGCTATAGAAACTGATGCTCATAAAGGAATCGGTGGATTGTTCCATATACCCTGTTGCCTAAAATAGCACATCTCAGGAGCATGATACATGATGTGCAAAACATCTGTGGCCCTGTATGAACCTTCTCAAGCGCTTGGTGAATTCTGCCTCTAGAGCAGGAGAATCTACACATGCAGACACATCAAGGCCGAGATGTATTTTCATTACCCAGCTGGTGTGTCTTGATGCTCCTCAGGGCGTGTTTCTGTTTACTGTATTTGTGTGTGCATGCATGCATTTGCACCGGCACGTATGTGTAACCATGTGCGTGTGTGTCCCAGTATCACTTCTTAGCACTCTCTCTCTCTGCACCAGTGCTGTCATAAGATAATGTGACAGGGTGTCAATCATACCAGGGCCTGAGGTACCGGGGCGACAAGAGGGATTTTGGCAGAACACTTTTGTGAGCAACACCAGGAAAGGGGCAACAGCAGGGTCCGCAGTACATAACAAATCAACTTAACCACAGCCACGTCACACACGTCCTTTCTTTTTTTTTGCCCCCTGCAATTTCCCTCTGGCCACTTTCAATTCATGCGGTCATTCTCCCGCTCTGAATCCTGACCCCTGTAAGAAAAAAACCTGGTGGGAGTCACATGCAGACAAAGCATTTTGTCATGCCCTGAGAGAGCCATCCCTGGCAACAAGGGAATGATCTGATCCACCCCATCTTCA